AAGATAAGTTCAATGACATGATTTAATTTTTCAAATTATCTCGTGTAATACACGAGATCGAACCTAATATATATATATATATATATATATATATAGAGAGAGAGAGAGAGAGAGAGAGAGAGATGAACATTCAAATAAAAATCACTCAATTTATACAAACCGTGAAAACCACATTCAACCAATCATAATTTTTCATTTTGTTCATTTTTTTATAATTATGAGAGGTTGATTAATCATTTTTATTATGAAGGGTGTTAATCATGGATATTATCATCTTAATTATTTTAATTTTAGAGAAATACATGAAACAGTTTCATTAAATATTATATAAAACAATTTCATAACCATATATGAAACAAATTCATCAAAAAAAGTATTATATGAAACAATTTCACAAGATTAAACAATTTCGTGAAAAAATTTCATAAGATTAAACAATAAAATCGACGTATGAGGGTGGTTTGTACAAATGAGGGTGATTTTTATTTGATCGTTCCTCTCTATATATATATATATGTTTTAGAAGGTTTATTTTATATATATGATCATTCTCTCTATATATATGTTTTAGAAGGTTTATTTTATATATGATCATTTAAGACATTAGATTATAACTTTTAATAAAAATAACGAAAACCAATATAAAAGAAAACCAAGAAACAATAATTGGTGGTTTGGTTATGCACATTACTACTTAAATTTGTTGGGTTCTCTTAACCTGTGCAGTTGACCTAATTCATCAATCGTCAAAAGATGATGTAAATATGATTCTTATTATAATATATATATATATATATATATATATACATATATTATATGTTAGTATATAAATCATTGGTAAAAAAGTTATGAATTCGTATATGTAGTTTTATATATAAATAATTTCTAAAAAGTAGATAAACTAATGTACTTATATATGTATCTTCAAATCGAAACTTTACAAGTTTACAGATAATTTACATATATGAATCATTTATTGTTCTCAATATTTTCCTTTTTCTTATTTTAACCCCCTATTTTTCTTTATATATATATATAGAGAGAGAGAGAGTGAGAGAGAGAGAACGCTATAAAATCATCTGTTAACCATGAAAAAAATATTAACTCTACAAATCAAATAGACCAATCACAATTCTTTGTTAAATTAAGTTCTTTTATCACCATGCAATTAATATGTGAGGTTACAACGATAATATTCTTTTTTCTCTTAACTTCATATTCATTAATGGACGGTTACAAAAACATCAATCCAATGGTTATAGCTAAACTAATATGTTTATTTTTTTTTCTCCATATTATTGGTGATTTGTTGTTTTAATATAATAAGAAACTTGGATGTTCTAACTATATTCAACATATATGTAATCGATATCATTCTTCACATCAAACAACTGAGTTTGATTGATTAAACGGTACCAGTGGACAGTGATGGAGGAGTGTTCGGTAGATAAATATTCATAATCAAGATATACAAACATGTGTGAAGACGGTGGAGCATAATACAAGATGATTGAATATCATATGATTAGAAATTATTGTGTTTACAAGTGAAAGCTAATAAATTAAGTGTTCATCAACATTTATATGGTGCATATAATTGTTCACCTCTGTTACAATGTTTTAATAAGATAATATATATATATATATATATATACACCTAACATTTGGTCAACATGCGTTTACAAGTGAAACACTTTGATCGGATATTAATGTGTTTACATATGAAAGTCAATATTTACTTTAGTGTTCATAAATTTTTATAGGTGCAAAAAAGTATTTATAAATGTTCCCGTATGTCCATATATGAAAGTCATAAGCCAAGATTAGTTAATAAGTTACATATACGTTCATCTGTATTTATAATCGTTCATAATTCAACATGGATGATTCTATGAACTATAAAAGGAAGGAGCAATTATCGATTTATAACCGATGCAAAAAATATATTGGACATCTCTCTGCTCACCTATGTTTTGATATCATTAATTTTTAATTACTTACAATATGCCACAATTGATCTTACCCATAGATTTTAAGAATCAATGGATACTATATATATATATATATATATATATATATATATATAAAGCCGTATTCAATGAAAGTCATATGTACGGCTTTGAGGGAGATCTTTCATATAAATCCAACTTATTAATTATGAAATGTTTAATCACTCGAATGTACATACGTGAGGCTTTTCCAGGAAATGTTTTGATCGTGAAATATCATTGAAATAGCAATCAGTGTTATCAAAGAATATATATATATATATATATATAGAGAGAGAGAGAGAGAGAGAGAGAGAGAGAGATTTAATCATTTGAGAACTTCAAAATTTGTAAGGTCAATAAGAACTTATACCTTAAGGTTTTGTTTCATATAATTTTTTCCGTCTAAATATAATATTTAATGTATTAATTAACACATATTTGTCTCACAAAGTGTTTGTTTCATATGTAGTCGGTTCAAAATGTGAAACTTTTTATGTGTATTTTTTGTTTCACAAACACATAAAAATATTCACATTGTAAACTGAATACATATGGAACAAGCACATTGTAAAACAAATATATGTTAATCAATACTTTAATCCTAATTTTTGATGGAAAAAAAAATCATATAAAATAACATGTGATATATAAGTTTTCAAGGTTATTAAAGTTTCATGGATAACCGATGCATCTCATACGTACTAATGTACATCCAAGGTGAAAATATTTTTTTAAACTTCTCATTTTTAAGGCTGGTTCTCAATGGAACCTAACCTTTAATATATATATATATATATATATATATATATATATATATATTATATAAAGATAGTGGGTGAAATGAAGTAAAATGTAAGATTGTCAAACACAACTTCAACCAACCCCGACCCTAGCTAGCTCAAGCATTTTCTTATATAAACCATCCCCTTCCCTCTCCCAGAAACACACACACACATCGTTTTTGAACACACTTCTAAGTCGTCGCTTCCTTCTTCCTCAAGAGTGAAGACGGACCCTTGGTGTACCCATACACAATGGGTTCATGTGGAAGAAGCTACTCATTGAGTGTTAAGCAGAGAGACACCATCGCAGCCGCATTGCCAGTACAAGACCACTGGTTATCCATGTCAAACCTAGACCTACTCCTTCCGCCATTGGACGTTGGAGTTTTCTTCTGCTACAAGAAATCCCCAATTCCTCATGAAGATAGTATTACCACTCCAGTGAACCTCATCAAGAAATCACTGGCACAAGCCCTGGCACCGTTTTATCCGTTCGCCGGAGAAGTTGTCCAGAACAGCCATGGTGAACCGGAGCTTCTCTGTAATAACCGTGGTGTGGATTTCATTCATGCCCAGGCTGATGTTGAGCTTAAGAACATTGATCTCTACCACCCAGATGATTCTGTAGAGAGGAAACTTGTTCCACTTAAAAAACGAGGTGTTCTTACTGTTCAGGTATTTGTGAAAAATATAAGCTTAATTTAAACATTTATTCCTCCTTGGATTCGAACCAGAACCCGCATGCACTTTTGATCTTTAGAGTCCAAACTCAAACCAAACGGACACATGATCTGTTAACAACACCTATAGATGACAATTAAAAAATAATATTTCTTTATACATAACTAATCAACTTTGTAGGAGAAGTTAGTAGGAAATTTGAGAATTTAGATAACATGGATGTGATGTGATGAATAAATTAAGAGATGCCATGCATGCAATCTGATTAATTATATCTCTATTTCTTTTATTTTTAATTGGCAACCGATGTCGTAATATGTAGGTGACTGAGCTCAACTGTGGAGGGTTGGTAATTGGATGCACCTTTGATCATCGAATCGGCGATGCCTACTCAATAAACATGTTCTTGACTGCATGGACCGAAATTTCTCGATCCAGACCGATATCATGTCTTCCATCTTTCAGACGTTCCATGGTTAACCCCAGACGCCCACCTCTCATGGACACTGTCTACGATTCCCTATTCGTCCCTGTATCATCTCTCCCACCACCAAGATCTTATCTCCCGACCAATCCCCTCGTAAGCCGCATATACTACATCCAAGCCAAAGACATCGATCAACTTCAATCGAATTCAAGTTTTAATGGAAACCCAAAACGAAGTAAGCTTCTATCGTTTATCGCCTTTTTATGGAAGATAATAGCAGAGTGTGATGATGGCTTCGAGACCTGCAAGATGGGAGTTGTAGTTGATGGGAGAGAAAGACTAGAACAGGTGAATTTTGACAAACTTTCTTTGACAAATACCAAGTGTTTTTCGATGCAAAACTACTTTGGAAACGTACTTTCCATCCCTTATGGTGAAGCGAATTCGGGAGAGCTTAAGGAAATGGCACTGAGCCAAGTGGCTGAAATGGTCTATAAGTTTGTGAGTCCTGCAATGACTGAGGAGCATTTCAGGGGACTCATAGATTGGGTCGAGCTGCACCGGCCCGAGCCAGCGGTTGCAAAGATTTACACGAAAACGGAAGAAACCGACGGCGAAGCTGTTGTGGTATCATCTGGGCAGCGGTTTCCGGTGGAAAGCGTTGATTTTGGTTGGGGTAGGCCGGATTTCGGTTCGTATCATTTTCCATGGGGTGGGCAAACGGGATATGTGATGCCAATGCCAAGTGTGAAGAAGAATGGAGATTGGATAGTTTATATGCATCTCCTTGAAAAGCATTTGGATTTGGTGGAGACCAAAGGAAGGAAGGTGTTTAAGCCATTATCTCCATCATACATTGGCTTCTAATCATCATTCATTACTATCACTGTAATATATGTGTGCCACCCAAATCGCTTGGCTTTCTGGATTAAGACTATGTGTAATGTTAATGGAATGTATATTAAGCATATAAGTGTGAAAATACGTACAACACCATGAGATGACTTATCAAGAAACTCGTAAAAGAATTGAAACCCTTTGAAAATATGCTCAAGTATAGTTGACGTGAGACTCGAACGATTGGTATAACGTCAATCATCTGGAACCGTCAACAAAAATCTGACTATTAGATATTTTTAGCTCTAGAAAATACATCTTTTTGAATTTCTACTAGCAAAATGATCATTTTGATGGTTAAAGTCAAATTTGATGGTTGTAATTGTTTTTCAATCTTGATTAAAATGGATAATGCATTTGGTCAAAAGTTCCTAATTTTATACCTAATTGATGATGTCGTAAATGATGTTTATTTCAATGATTAAACTCGCACAAATAATACTACTCTATTATTATTGTTGGTTTTAACCGTTCCTCTGGATGGGTCTCGTAGGTAGCAGCATTCCTGCTTGCCTCTGGCGCAATTTATAGGCATCCCTCAAAAGAACCAGTCCAGACAATCATCCGACTCTCCGGAGCGGATGGAAGTGAAAAAGCATCGATCATCCATAAAACCTAGAACTACTAGGATTCCTCGCTTCCATCATTAACAAATTTGTTGGTTAAATACAACATCGGAGCATCCAACCCTCGAGTCTCAACTACATCGATCTCACAATTGTATAGTAGTTGCTAAAGCTTTATGTGTTATGATATTAATTATGATACGTTTAGAAAAATCAAATATATCAGTATTAGTTTTATATGAATAATTTATCACATCATATCAGTTTTTTTTAAATGATTTATATATGAAATCTTTTACCGTCTCACAAATAATTAATGTTTTCATTTTAATCCATTGAATTAGACGATGGTTTTTGCAGTTTTACAAATTGGAGGGTGGGAGGAATGGTATTAGAATGGGATCATTAAAATAAATAATTAAATAAATAATTAATTAGAGGAATGATATAAAATGAAATAAATTTGGGTTGATGTCAACAACCAGCACCAAAACTGTTAACTGGACTCATACTTGTTTAGATTTAACACTTAATTAAAACCTCAGTTTCTAGAAATTTGGGGAAGTGCGGGTGGGTTGGTGGATTAGTGATATATGTTGACCAATTACAAGCAATTAGTCGTGCATGGTTTAAATATTGAGTGTAATATATATGTAGTATTTTTTGATCTCGTGATAATTGTAGGTTTGGTTTGGTATATATTAGTTGTGTATCTGTGCAATGTGGCGAGAGCCATGAAATTTTAATGATTTTGAAGTTTCACTGGTTTTATAAGATAATGTTTAACGATGATATATGTTACACTTGGTCATTATATATTAATACAATCTGAATAAATAAGAGTGATGGTTTCAATTACAGACTATCGATGAAAAAAATTGTATGACAGTTTAAAATCCAATATATTTAAAATCCAACATATTTAAACGACTCMAYAAATRTGTTCGATTTACACCAAGAGCAAAGAACCAAGAAATTTGAGTTTTAAGATAAACACTCAAAACCAATAAGGAAAACTACAAATTTGACATATCATAAGCCATGAAAAGACTAAAAAAACCCAAAAACATATTATTTCAGAACATATTATACAGTGCAATTTGGACAGCCTAACCCCAAAATATATAGTATATATATATATATATATATATATATAAATAAATAACTATAAAAGTATAAATCGTAAATATTAAAAATATTTTTTTCACAATATATAATATATAATAAAGTCAAAAACTATTCAATATTAGACTCATTTCGAAGGTTTAACGAGACGATTATAATGATGTAACTTGTTAAAATAAAAATATATTTTTTAAACATGTTTTAATTGATATACGATTATGTATATTAATTTGATAAAGGTTTAAAATGAAACATTTAAAAGTAAATGACGTAAAGTAAATTAATTAACTRATTATAGGRKTATAAAGTGTAAATTTAAAATTATAATTTTAAAAAAATTGGTTGTGAGAGGGTGAGTGTATGTGAGGAGAAAAGGGGGTGAAAAAGTGATATAAAAGGTATCTTGGTCATTTAGTATTTTAAGACTCTGACTTTTGTTAAATTTGTTTTATAAGATAATATAGATATTGGTATATATATTGGTAAAGAATATATACAGAGAGGGGGAAGCGATTAAATACAAACTACCTTTATTTGTATAAACAGTGTAAACCAGGGCCGGTCCTAAGATTTTTAATGCCCTATGCGAAAATAATAAAAAAATGCCACTAAGCTTATTTTTTTTAAGCCAATAAAACAACGAAACATACAATTTTTAAAAAGTTTAGAACCTATTCAAGCTAAGTATCTCATCTCAATGTTGATTTTTATTAATTATACTAAAAAAAATACAATGAGGGGAACATAAAAACCAAAACCCCGAATACAAAATATAAAATGATAAAAGGATAAATCTTGAATTAAGATCGTGCTTCATTCTTTTCCAGTTTTCCCTTTTCCAAATTGAAATTAGCAAAATATAAACTTTATTTCAATATATGAGACTTAAAAGACAAGGAAAACTATAGTTAGTTTTTAACTAAAGTAGTAAGTTATATTCAAATTACTGTCACAAGTAAGCAAAAAGTAAAACTCAAAAGTTACAAGTCTAACGACTAAAGGTTAATGGTATATCTGTTAGCAACTTAATAAGTTTAATATGACTAACAACTTATTTGTTCAACTATGCATGACTGTTTCATAGTGGCTTAATGATATAGAAAGTGACTTATTCGGTAAACTTATAGGAAGAACTTTATATAGAAAGCAAGTTTTTTTTTTTTTTTTTTTTTCCAAACACGTCCCTTCCAATTAAAAAACGTTCCTTACATCTGCGAAAAAAACTCTCTCAAACAAAAACTTTTCCAACTTTCCAACTTTTTCCAACGATGAGCATTCAGTATTCATCACTACTAGGCTTTGGGAATGTTTTTATAATTAAAGTTCAGTTGTTCAATTCCCAAATTATTAAACCCATAACTAGTAATAAATGACAACTTGATGCCTCTTTAGGCTTTGATGCCCTATGCGGCCGCACGGGCTGCACGTGGCCAGGGCCGGCCCTGGTGCAAACCATGCTCATCCGTCGATTTCATTGTTTAATCTTATAATTTTTTTTTCTATTAAATTGTTTAATCTTATGAAAATTGTTTCATATGATACTTTTTTTTGACGAAGTTGTTTCATATAATACTTATGAAATTTTAATGAAATTGTTTCATGTATTTATCTAAAATTAATATAATGAAGATGATAATATCCATGATCAACATCCTCCAAAATAAAAATGATTAATCAATCTCTCATAATTACAAAAAAATGAACAAAATGAAAAATTATGATCGGTTGATGAGTTTGTACAAAGAATGTGGTTTACAAATTAAATCTCTCTCTCTCTCTCTCTCTCTCTCTCTATATATATATATATATATAAAAGACCTGTGAGATCACTGTTTTTACACTTGAAACTTCACAGCAAAACACTATGAAGGAAACTTTCATAGTGCTTTTGTTGTGAAGGTTCGGTTTTTTTTACCATCACAGAGTTTTGCTGTTAAGTTTTAAGTGTAAAAAAGTGGTCTCACAGGTCTCACAAAAATAGGCTCATCTCACGTGATCCCATATATATATATATATATATATAGAGAGAGAGAGAGAGAGAGAGAGAGAGAGTGTGAGAAGGGGGGTGGGGGTAGGGTTCAAATGAGAATGTCCATAGTTTATGAAAATATGAGAATATTTTTGGACTTCCAAATTATTTAATACTGTACAAAATTAAAATAAAAAATAAATAAACTAGTATATGTCAACAATATTATGTTATCTTAATTTTGTCTTTATTTCTTAAATGTTGTTATTATTATCAAATATTTTTTATGTCGATGAGTCCGTTGTCAGTAATGATGTAATAACATTGTGATAATTATCTGATTTTGCTGTGATAATAATGTTGATAATGCTTTAATATAATCAGACTTCTTATGTTGTGATTTATTGATATGATTTTTTTTTTTTACGATTTTGCTGTGACAATGATGTTATAATGTTGTGATAATCAAATATTAGTGATGATCACATCCACAATCTCGGTTCATTATGTGATTTTGCTGTAATAATAATGTGATAATATTATGATACATTATGATCGATGAATATATCATCAGTACGTGATTTTAGGGATAATACAAATAAATATGAAATCACATTATTATCTTTAATTATTTACTTCTTTTTCTTTTAATTATAAATATAGGTTAAACAATATGGAAGCCATTAAATGTTCTCGCATTTTCATAAAACAATAGTGTTCTCATTTGAACATTTCCATATATATTATATATATGAAGCATGTCCAAACGAGAACTTAAATATTTTACAAGAAGACGAAAAGATGCGATATCATATATGATTACATGCATAATACACAAACTTAATCGTATATGATTAAATACATGTTATATTGACAACACATATGCTTAATAATATAAGATTGAACCCATCCAAAGAAGTGTAATCATATATGATATTGAAATTCTTGCATTTTTGCAAAAGGTTTAACTTCTCGCATGGTTTTTTCCCTCCCTCCCTCTCTCTCTCTCTCTCTCTCTCTCTCTCTATATATATATATATATGTATGTATGGAACGGTTCAAACGAGAACACCTATGATTTACGAAAACATTTGTAAGCCAAATATTGTGTTTTAAATAACATTTTAAGAAGATTTGAGGGATTTTTAACATAAAAATAAATATTAAAAAATTTAAAAATATTAAAGACATGCAGAGGGAAAATTGGAAACAAGAATGCAAAATCAAATAACACGATAAGATTGTTCATCGAGGAAGTCATAATCATGTAATCACCGATCGTCGATAGTGAGTAGTATTATAAGAAAACTGGGAACATATAATATCACAAGGAGCAATAAATTTAGGGTATAACAAGGGGGTCGTCTTAATTGGAGGCGTTGAGGAAGACGAGAAACAAAGGCATGTATGTGTTAAATATCACACATACAACACAT